GTCAAGGAAATAGCATAAGAAATGTCTAGTCTAATGCTGTGATAGGGATTTGGGTGCTTTCTGTGTTGAGATACCATGGTGCACATGAAATTTCCTTTACAGAGCAGGGGTAGAGAGAAGTGCAAGGGACTTTGGAACTTAATCACCTCATGGATGGTGGGGGAAATGGTCTGAAATGGAGAAGGCAGAGAAGAAGACAGAGGGACTGGGGACATGGCTCAAGTGGCAGAGGGCTTGCCCAGCAAATGTGAGGCCTTGGGTTCAAACACAGTACTACTTAAGATGGGGGCAAGATTCCAGAAAGACAGAGAGGGAGAGGGGGAGGGAGTGGAAGAGGGTGAGAGAAAATGAGAAAGAGAGAGAGAGAGAGAGAGAGAGAGAACAAGGAAGTGGGCCATGGAACCATGGAAGAACTGAAATGAAGAATTTCAAGAAAGCATGAGGTAGGGATTGCTGTTAGACTGCTACAAACATTCCTGGAATGAGTTTATAGCCTTAAATCTAATCTCCATTAAAGGAAACTGGTACATTTATTTGACTTTACTAAATACTGTCCTAATTCAGGACCTAGAGGCAAGAGGCCCACCTTCTTATTCCCAGCCCTAAAAACTTCTTGCCTGGTGACATACAAAATCATTAACATCTAGAGCTTTCTCTTGTTCGGTTGTCAGGTGAAAGAGCTAGACTCTGCCTCCTCTGGGAGAGTCCCTTTTGGCTTTCAAGTTCTGTGCCCTGTGCTGGGCTCAGCTCTAGCTGTACTTCCAGTATCTAGAAGCTTACATCTAGCTGGGTATGGAATTACACAGCTGCTCTCTCTCCTTGATTTGTTTCTGTGTTGACTTTCCCTCCCCTGGAGATAAATATCAGTGGGTGTAAGGGTGTTGAGAAAGAGCAGATCTTGAATAGACAAACCAGCCTTTCTGAGAGCCTAACTTTGTGCCCACAAGGAATCACACCTTTACTCTAAAGAAGTAGAACCCCTCTCCCCCACCACACACACACACACACACACACACACACACACACACACACTTCTTTCCTGAACACTTAACTTTTCTTGATTTGACTACTTATACATTAGTGAAATCCTTGTGCTGTGGCTGAAGGTGATTTTATCTTTTTACTGAAATAGGGCTCCAATATCTGTACAATACACACACAAAAGCCAACCTCTTTCTTCGTCGTTTTCCCTGCTTTATAATACGTTATATGCTGCTGGGATCTGATGGGATTTATCCATAATTTACCAAGTAATAAAATTATTTTGTCTAGGAATATTTCTTGGATGCAATTTGTAGTTTCATGATTGCTGTTTATTAAAAAAAAAAAATAGGAGTGGTGGTTACTAGCACTTACTATAAACTCAGAGACATGTTGCTTTGAGGTATCAAGTTTTTATCAAATGTAATTGTGAGCTAGAGAAATAGCAGATATACGCTAGGCCTGGTGGTATATGCCTTTGGTCCCAGATACCTAGGAAGTAGAGGTAGAGGAAGAAGGGTTCTAGGCAAATTTAGTATAACAACGTATCAGAAAAAAAAAATTAAAAGGCATAAGGCTTTGGGGCATGGTTCAAGTGGTAGAGCATGAAGTGATGAGTTCATGTAGCTTAGTGTTCTGGAAACAAATTGAACCCAAAATCCCTAGTTCTGTTTCCACCTCTGCCTACAACCTATGACTGTGGACAGATCTATGAAATAGATAGGTCCAAGTAATTTTTACAGTCTTTGAAGGTGTGTCTTCTTGCGGTGGAGACAGACTGGGTATAGACATTAGCCCTCCATAACTTTCCCAGAGGAAAAGTTATTGCCTTGACTTGGAAAGTTATTTCCAGTCAAGGCTGAGAATAGCTACCAGTCTATGAATGGATGTTGGGCTGGTACTGGGTTCCTTGCCACCAACAACCATGGGAAGTTTTCCTTGAATCCTTATTTCTATAGTTACTAGGGAAGAATGGAGGGATGTCATGGGCAACAAGGAAGCAGAGACCCCCCACAAAGCCCACCATGGGCCAATGGGGGCGGGGCTCTGAAGCATGCCCAGAAACAAGCAGCTCCTGAGGCTTATGTGGAAATATTGGCATGCTGCTTGCCAGGGAGGGAAGGTTACTGGGACAGGCAACAAACAATATCCAACCTGACTCCCACATGGGGATTTCTATCTGCCCTTGATCAAGCATGCTCAGTGCTCTCTTCAGAGCCTCTTGGTGTTCCAGGAGTTGGAAGTGACCCAACTCCCAATGCCTCCAGCTGATTTATGCTGATTGAGTGTGTAGCTCTTTACTTGTCTATTGTCTACTGGGCCCAAGTTTATTGTTTCTGGTTCCATTGAGGGGTCTCATTACCAGCCACTCCCTGGTATTGACTTTTGGCCCAAAAGAAAGGGAAAAGAAGAGAAATAGTCAGCTCCTTTCCTGCTCTGCAATTGCAGTCCATCTCTGGTAGAGTTGGTTTTCCCTGAGATCAATTTGGTAGAAAGGACCAGAACTTGTTCTCTATAATATCTATGACTTTTCTAAATGAAAGAACGTCCAATTACATACTCTTCCAAAAAAGGAAGAAGAAAAAAAAAAGGAGGAAAATTTAAAGCCACACAATATCCTCTAATGTTTCCACAAACTAGAATAGAATGTTACCCGATTTTATCTTTTTGTACACTTCATTGTTAGAGAGAACCCAATGAGTCTGTAACTACAACTGCTAAGTAAAACTTTTACCTGAAACACAAACTCCTTAGTTTCCTTTTAATTGCCCTTACAGCTCACTGAGCTGTAAGTTATGAGCTCATAACTCATGGATTTCAGTCTATTCTTAATCATCACAAAGCTCCTGACACCATTATCTGTGGCTTTGTCTCCTTTCCTTTGGAAAGGAACATGGTTCACTAGGCAAAGTGGCATATACCTCTAGCCCCAGCACTCAGAAAGCTGAGATCAGAGGGTTCTTCGAGTCTATAGGAGTTTGAGACCAGTCTGAGCAAAATAAGAAAAGCTGGTCATGCATACATACATGCATAAGTGGACCTTGCTTAACAGTAGTGAAATTGGACCTTATTCTCAACTCCAGACTAGAGGCAGATCTCCCACACAAGCTACACACATAGCCAGCCAACTGTCTAGCAGAGAACAGTATATAGTGCAAGCCCTATGGTTACCAGCAGAGCCCTGAGGAAGGAGATGAATGAATGCATGCCTGTGTGAAGGAGAAGAAGGCTGAAAAAAAAGTATATAGAAATATATATATATATATATACATATATATATATATGTATATATATATATATATATATATATATATATATATATATATATATATATATCCTGTCCACATTTCTAGAGAACAAAACAAGGGGCAAAGGCCAAACTAAACCAGCCTCCAATCCCACGAATATGTTATGTTGTGAAATAATGAGACAAGCATGCTTTTGGCCTCTATAAATGACCCACACTGCCACGACAGCAGCACATCCAGACATAAAAACTCGGCACTGGAGAGGTCACTTTCAATTTCTGAGTGTCTGCCATGAATTCAGCCGTTCCTGACTTCTCTGTGCACTGGGAAAGGGGGGCGGAGGGGAGAGGTGGGGGGGGGGGCCTGTCGGGCAGGCATGCAGGAATGGCTGCCAGTGAGCTGGGAAACATCTCCAACGCCAAGAAATGAAATCTTCAGAGCCTTTGAAAGGCTTCCAGGAATGTCAGCATGGACTGGCTGCCCGCTCTCCACTGAATGCCTACTTTGGCTGTCTGCTTAGTACTGAATGTGCCAGACAGACTTTCATACAAAGCGAGAGAGTGTTTGGGGCCCAAGACAGGGGAAAGCACGGCCTTGCAGATGTGAATGGTGAGATTCAAGAAGTAGGTGATAACGTGGCAGGATGAGGAAGGCCCACAAGAGAGGAATGAGCAAAAGACCCGGCAGGAAAGAGCTAGCATCTACCTACAAGTGGACACATTCCTGGTAGTTCCCCACTGTCAAGTCTGGAGACACAGCCCACTACCACATTGTGTCTCTGCTTGATTTTCATGACACGTTTATATGCCTTGGTTGTAGATTCCCTGTCCCCCTCCCGCCCAAAAAGAAACCTCTGAATCATGAAAGGTATTTTAAAGTTCTGCCAAGGCATATTTAAGTGTACTTTTTTTTTGTCGGTTGTGGGGCTTGAACCCGGGGCCTAGACCCTTTTGCTCAAGGTTAGCACTCTACCACTTTTAGCCACAGCACCATGGCCAGTTTTCTGGTGGTTAATTAGAGATAAGAGTTTCACAGACTTTCCTATCTAGGCTGGCTTTGAACCATGATCCCCAGATCTCAGCCTCCTAAGTAGCTAGGATTATAGGTATGAGCCACCAGCACCCAGCTCTTAACTGTACTTTTGCTCACATTTCAACATTAAATATAATGCCATTTTTAGTGTAGGTTATTTGGGATTTTCTTTTATTTATTTTTAACCTCTGATACATGGACAACAAGAAAGAAGGAAAGAGAAAAAGGAAGGAAGGAAGGAAGGAAGGAAGGAAGGAAGGAAGGAAGGAAGGAAGGAAGGAAGGAAGGAAGGAAGGAAGGAAGGAAGGAAGGAAGGAAGGAAGGAAGGAAGGAAAGAAGGAAGGAAAGAAAAAGAAAAGTACATCTATCCGATTAGGTTGGAATGAGTTATTCCCTTCAGCTCACTTTCTTCTAAAAAGGAAGACAACCGCTTTGTGGAGTGAGCCATTCCCTAGCTCGTTAGCAGTGCGCCTCATAATTCCTTGGCACAGTGCTGCAAAGGGAGAGATCTCTTCTGGTGTCTCCAGCTTTTCTGAGGAGGCAGTCTGATGTCATTGGTGGCAGATGTGGTATGGATGAATCTGTCTTTTGTCTGCACCATCTGTTTTTCTTCTCACAGGCTATTGTTCAAATTTCTTCTTCACTTTTTCCAGGAAGTGTGCATTTCCTAAGAGCCTAGGCTATTGAGCATGAAAGCTAATATTCTAACATGATGCCCTTCTATTCTTTCTTTCCCAGAATCTTATGGCAAGGGCATTATATGACAATGTCCCAGAGTGTGCTGAAGAGCTGGCCTTCCGTAAGGGAGATATCCTGACTGTCATAGAGCAGAATACTGGGGGACTAGAAGGATGGTGGCTGTGCTCTCTACACGGTCGTCAAGGCATTGTCCCAGGAAACCGAGTGAAGCTTCTGATTGGTCCTGTGCAAGAAAACCCATCCAGTCTTGACCAGCCTGCTTCTGGACCAGGGCACCAGACTTTGGGCCAACAGAGGCTCTATCAAGTGCCAAACTCACAGGCAGCATCTCGTGACACCATTTACCAAGTGCCACCTTCCTACCCCAATCAGGGAATTTACCAAGTACCCACTGGCCATGGTTCCCAAGAACAAGATGTTTATCAAGTGCCACCATCAGTACAAAGAAGCATTGGAGGCACCAATGGTCCTCACTTAAGTAAAAAGGTAAGTGACTAACTACAATTCTGTTTCTACCTTCTTGGAGTTTCCCCGTTTAGACCAATAGAAATATTCCCACCAGGCTCCAGTGACTCAAACCTGCAATCCTATCTCCTGGGGATGTGGATGGAGATTACAATTCAAGGCCAGCCTGGGCATACATTTAAGACCTCCATCTTAGTAGTTAGATGCAGCAGGACAGCTCTGGGAAGCAAAATTGGCAAACTTCAATCCAGGGCAGCTTGGTATACACATAGATTCTATTTGAAAAATAACAAAAAGCCTGGGGCAAGACTGAAGAGGTAGAGCACCCATCTAGCAAGCACAGGACCCTGGACCACAGAAAAGGAAAAGAAAAAGAAATATTTCAAAATAATAACTAGAAACTTCCAAAGAACAAATATACCAAATGCCCCAACTCATCAATCAAAATAAAAAACATTTCTTGAGACAGATTAGCCCAGACTGGCCTCAAATTTACAATCTTCCTGTCCTAGCCTCTCAAGTGCTGGGTTTGCAGGTGTGCACTACCATATGCTGAAACAAATTTTTCTTGAACTACCATGTGCGAAGTACTATTGACCTACAGTCATTATAAATTCCCGTGTCAGTCTGGATGGTACTGGTTCATAAATTATTGATCTTCATCTTTCTCATAGCTCTGCTGATAGACCTGCATTCTGTGCTCAAATAGTTTCCAATCTTTTCTAGTTCTTCCTTGAATAGTGCAAGACACCAAACTGTACCTAAACCCAATGTTTCAGCAAGGCTCTCCTTTCCAGAAGAGGAATCATGACTTTGTTGGCCTTGCTAGACAAAGAATCCAGCAGAAGTAAAGACAGAACACAGACTAGGAAGGTTATCTCCACCAAGAGTTGTGTGCTTGAAGTTTGACTCCTTTAAAACAATAGCTACTAGTAGATTGGGAAGAAGTCATCCCTGTGACTTTGAAATCATTTCTGAGATAAGCCTGAGGTGGGAGTGAAAATAGTGGAGCTTTTTGGAAGACATCAAGTTTTAGAAGAATACAAGAAAAAGGTGGTATATTAGTGAAGATCCCAACACTACAACTAAATACCTAATGTAGTTTACACAGTTTTAACTACAAACCTATGCGTATTAGACTTATCTAATATACATATACTTATCTAATTCTAACACACTGTACCAGGATGTTTGGTTGGAGATGTGAGAGGGGGATAGAGATTTACGTTGGATTCCTTAAAATAAAACAAAACCATAAATGCATTTCCTGATCATCTTTTATGCCCCAAAAGTGTGTTAGCAAAAACACTTACCAAGGGCACACAATCAGAGTACATCCCCTAAGAGAATTTCTTCCAGAAGAGGGAAACCATTTGTTAGACTTGGGTTCCGCAGGCCAGCAATCCCTGGCTAGAGGTAATAGATTGAGCTATGACCTTTCAAAGTCTTTCTTACACCAGTGGTTTGAGATTCAAAGAAAAGGCCAAACTTGGCCTTTATCTGCAGCAAGGGGGTGGGGGTGGGGGGCAAGGGAGGAAGAACAGTTGAAAGGTGCAGCTATAAATAAATTCTTAGTCTTGGTGGCTTGCACCTTAAAAATAGCTCTCCCTCATCTGAACTGGTCCCAGGCAGACAGGGGAGGCCAGAGCAGGAAATGCCTGGCTGAAAGGTGATGGATCCAACTTTCATCATAGTTTATTTTGGCAGGAAGGTGACATGTTTTTCTTTTTAGACTCAACGTCTTCAGTTCCAAGTCTGGGAAGTCTTAGAGTTCAGACTCTTTCCTATTGCACATACGGCCAGGGCACTGTGGCCTTTCTCCATGGCTCTCATCCTTACAGAGACAGCAGAGGGTCTTTCTGCCTTTCCTTCCTTTCCATTAATGTCAAGGGTGCGGTGCTGGGGTGATGCTTGGACACTCACACTCCGTGCAGCATTTTGTCTTTAGGAAAGAGCACTGTGTGTTTAGGAAAAAGGCAGAGTCCTTTGGGAGCAAGCCATTCCTGGAAGAAAAAAAACCAAAACAAAACCCTGACAGCCCTTCCTCAAAATGCACAGTGGAAGTGAAAGCAATGGTGGTATAGGACTCCATGCAGTGGGAATCAGAACAGTTTCATGGCCAAGATGGAAGGGGTGGGAAGGACATGTCTGCCCCCCCCCCCCCCCCCCCGCCAAGCTTCAAGTGTTCTCCATGACACTTTGACACCCCCTTAAGAGTATCTTAGTGTCTTTGGGTCTGAAGACTATATGCATCCATCTACTGTTCCCTGGACCATCTCACACCTCCAAAGGAGTGAGTTTGCTTCTGACTTCCTTTCCACCTCACTCAACCTCTGCCTCTTCCTTTTCTTTCTCCTCCTTCATCTCTTCCTTCTGCTCCTTTTCTTGTTTTTTCTTTCTTTTCTTCTCCTTCAGTCTTCCTCCTTTTCTCATTTATACTCTCTTTTTAACAATCCCTTACTGTTGTTCTCACTCCTTTCTTTTACTTCCCTCTCTCATTTCCCTCTTTCCTTCATGCCTTCCCTCTGTCCTTTCCTTGTCTCTTCTTTTCCCTCCTTCCCTCCTTCCAGCCTGTCTTCTTCCATCCCTCCTTCCTAGTGGAGATGATGTGGCTGCTAAGAAAGGGTTCTAACCTTTTGCCAACAGCATCTGTCTATAATGTCTTCTTGATGTGAACGTTGGTGGGGAAGGAGGGGGCGTGGTCATACTAAACTTAAGCCACAACCCCAGAAGATAATTTCCATACAGAAGGGATCAGTTCTAGTTTGGGGTGTGTGTGTGTGTGTGTGTGTGTGTGTGTGTGTGTTTTCAGCAAGTTCTGGAGTTCTTATTTTAGCAGCTCAACTAATGTTTTCTCTTTTAATTTTTCTCTTTGCTGGCTTTACTCATTTCCTTTTAATTTCTCATCTGTAAAATGTTGGTAAGGCCAGTACGAAATGTTCCTAGTCATTGAAGCTGTGGTCTGTAAAAGTCTTTCAACAAGCAAGTGAGGAGGCTGTGGCATTTATAATGAGAGGCATAAGCACAGTGAGTGGAAATGCAGATTCCCACACCTTTGGCTCCAGTTGTCATCACGTAGGTCCGAAGAGGAGTCCAGGAGTCTGATCTCATTGAGTCCCTGCTGAGTCTCAAGGGAGGTAGCCCAGGACCACACTTTGAGAAACCCTGCAGAGGATGATGGACTTGGGCATGTTCCAACCTGGTTATGATTCGGGGCTTTCCATAGTTCAAAATTCCCTCCATGTTGCTACAGACTATGAGCTTCAGAAGTTTTATTAACTATGGATTTTTTTAAACCAGTAGATCATTTAAGAAACAATACAATGAATTATGCCTTCTGTCATTTCAACCTTGCTATCAGGGGAATTTCAGCCTTTACCCAACCTCTTGCAACCCATGCACCGTAACTGACATTCCTCACCCACTAACTCAGCACTGAGCATGAGAATGTGCTCAGATAACCCTTCCCTTAGCAAGGAGACCGTGTAAGTGTGTGGACTCTGACTCTGAGTCATGGTGTTTCAAGCTGTGCATCCTTTGGGAAGTTACTATGTCTTCTCAGCTTTGACTCTTTCATCTGCGATGGTGCAAATAATAAAAAAAAAAAAATGTGTGAATAATCACCTCACAGGGCTATGGAGAGAATTAAGTGGAACAATATAAAGCCCCCGCCATAGTGTCTAATACAGTGAGAGCTTAAAAAAATGACCTTCCTATCACGAGTTAGTGGCCAATGCTTGTCCTCATAACTATGTGGGAGGCTGAGATTGGGAGGGTCATGATTCCAGGCCAGCTTGAGGAAAAATGTTGGAGAGACGCCATCTTAGTCAATAGCTGGGTACTATTTCTCACCTATCATTCTAGCTACTGTGGGAAGCCTAAGTAGACAGATCATTGTCCAGGTATACTTCTGGTCAGGAACTCAGACCCTCTGTCAAAAATAACTAGCACAAAAAAGGCTGGAGATGTTACTCAACAGTAGAGAGCCTACTTTGCAAGCACAAGGCCTTAAGATCAAACCCTGATACCACTGCCAAAATATTTTTTAAAATTTTAACGGCCTTTCCTTTTATGTTTTCTTTCCTTTCTCAGAGTTTGTTCGCAACCATGTTACCTGTGTGTGTTCCTTACTATGGAAAAATAACACATTTTTGATTGCTAGTATCCACTATGCCCTTGGAGCACTTGGCTCTCTGATTCAGTAAGAATTCTGCACAGGCTAGAAAAGAACTCTCAGAGTTATCTGAAAACCTTATACACTGACACCTTTAGTTCACTTCACTGGTCTTTTTTTCATGCTGAATTTTGTCCACAGGGCTGGTTTATCCATTAGGTTTTAGAGGCAGAATGCCCAGGGCCTATGAGAATGTTTGAGACACAATCAAAAGAACCTCTGGCTCCAAGATATTAAACATACACCAAAAAAACCCTGAAAAATAGGAGTTAATAAACATTTAGACAAATAACTAGGAAACAGAGTCATGTCACACTCATTAAATATTCTTAGTGCTCATGTCTATTCTGTGACATTTGAAAACAATTTGTAAGTTTGATTTTTCTCACTTTGCAAAGACTTCTAAATATGCATGGTGACTGCCAAGATTTCTCCAGCTATTCTAAATTAAATGAGTTTCCAATATCGAGCCATTTGAAAAGCTAAATTAGAAAAAAGAAACATTTTCAATGTTTGAAAGGCAAAACTTCAACTTAATTTAAGAGTTTGGTTTGGATTGTAGCCTCTCAAATGCCCCAAAGCCAAAGGCCTATGGAGATCTGAAATAATTAATTTTTCAGCTTCAAAACTCAGTAAAATGGCCATGCGAATTTTCTCATTGCTGCCTCATCTGCACTGGGAATCATGAGTTTCTCTGATAATTCTCTGGATCTGTCGCTTTAATCTGAATTGCAGGGATGAGATTTGTTTTGCCTCCTACTAAAGAACAGTTGGAGCTGGGCACCATCCTAGCTACTAAGGAGGCTGAGATCTGAGGATCATAGTTTGAAAGCTAGCCCAGGCAGGA